CTCCTTTCACTGTTCTTGGCTGTCAGGCTATATTAGTGTCCGATAGAAATAAGTCATTTAGAAGAGGCTCTGTCAGCCAGCCCCTCAGCCCCACTAAAAGCTCCAGGATTAGGTCCCGGAGGCCTTTGTCTCCACAGCCCGCAGGATTAGGGGAGATTTACTGCGAGGAGAGAAAAAAAGTAGTTATTTCATGGCACTTTCATGATGAAACCTGGCCAAAGCTGTGTTGGCTGGGGGGATTAGAGGCACACAAAGAGTGTGCTTGTGTGTGACCCTCCCCATCCCAGAGCAGCCTCCACTGACTCACTCACGAGCCCCCCTCGCTTGCAAACCCGCCCCCACTCCGGTTCATTTGCCCCTTCTGCGGGCCGGCGGGGCTCGTCCGGGTTCACCACCTACCCATCGACACAAGCGAGGCGCTTCATTTAGCGTCTTTAAACTCTCAACACCCAGCGACCTTTAACCGACGCTGTCGCCGTATTTCATGTGTTTATGTGTCTGAGAGAGGGTGCCGTCCCATCACCGAGGTAAGAACTGGTTTTGCCTCGAGGACCGGAGTGCAGAGGTAAATGAGAAGTTAGTGGATTTCAGCCCCTCCTGTAGTGTTTAAGACCACTTAAGAGGAGTTATCCTGCTCTTAGAGGATCCACTTACACATGCGTGGATTACGGCGAATAGAAGACAAAAGGCCGAGTCACAGCACTGACAACAGCCTCACCGCCGAGCAGGTGTTATGCAGGTTTAATAACTGTTGTCACATAGCAGAGGGAATTACAGGGACCCTGCCGCTCCGCTCCCAATAAGAAAATGACGGCGTGAACGGTTTACAGTTTCCATCCTGCTCGGTGTCACCAACACGAAGTTAGTGCTTGTACATACTTCACACGCTGCTTCAAACACAGCAGGCTGTGTGTTAGTCAGGGGATAAGTCAGTTCAGACAAAGCTAATGAGTCAGCCTTTACTAGGAGGTGTTAATGGTAGCGGTTAATATTTGCTTTAGAAATCATTAACAGGAACAAATTTTTGGGTGTGGAGAAAATGACATAATCCAGGTTTAAAGCCAAGGATGTTCAAAGAGAAAAACTTTTGAATATAACTTATTAAACCAACCAGTGCTCCCCTTAGAGTTCAAAATGTGTGTCCTTCACCAGTGAGAGTGCAGTCTCATCAGGACTGGTCCTCCAAACCAGCTGTGAGGTCCCAAGTCCTGTTTTTAACTTGTGCATCTTAGTGGAGTTTAGGGGGGAAACATACGAGCCTCCCACTGACAAACTGTCAAATATTTTGCAGAAAACTAGAGTAAATGATCTCGGCTTTTGATCGATTTGAGGCGTGCGCTCGCCTCCCGTTTGTTTTGGTTTTGGAGCTTTTCTTCTTCTTCTGCTTCTTTTATTTGGTCAGTAAGATGTTAATGCCTCCTGTTTAACAGATGTTTTATATAGTGGCCCAGTCTTTCTTTAATTACTTATCAATAGTGCTAATTTGTATTGACAAGGGCCTGTCAGGACGGGACCTTTGTAGTTGTCAGTTATCTTAAAGGACGGCCCCCTCGGACACCGAATGGATCGATTGGCACGCAAAGTACAATTGGGAGGCCTTTTGAAGGGGGGGGCAAGAGTCCGGGAGCATGTGTGCAGAAGAAGGGAGAGCGGGCAGAGGATCTAAAGACTTCTGCGCAACACTCGGGGGAATCGATAGGGCCCGCTGGCCTTTGACCTGAGGGGGAACTGGGAGAGCGGCGGCGGCGGCGGGTCGGT